CACGCGGCCCCGCCCGCCCTGTCCCCAGGTGATCATAGAGCGCTACAAGGGCGAGAAGCAGCTGCCAGTCCTGGACAAGACCAAGTTCCTGGTCCCGGACCACGTCAACATGAGCGAGTTGGTCAAGATAATCCGGTGCGTGGGCGGCGACCCCCAGGGGGCACTTGGGTCCTGCTGGGGCTGGCCAGGTCCTTCTGAGGAGTGGGAGTGGGCATAGGAGGGGCATTGGGTCAGGGATGGGTGTGAGTGGAGGCAGGGAGTCATTTTGGGGAGGGAGTCGGGGCGACACCCGCCAGCAGCCAGGCCCCTCACTGTGGGCTGCCCTCCTGCCCACCTCAGGCGCCGCCTGCAGCTGAACCCCACGCAGGCCTTCTTCCTGCTGGTGAACCAGCACAGCATGGTGAGCGTGTCCACGCCCATCGCGGACATCTATGAGCAGGAGAAGGATGACGACGGCTTCCTCTACATGGTCTACGCCTCCCAGGAAACCTTCGGCTTCTGAGCCAGCAGTAGGGGGAGGGGTTGGCAGGGGAGAGGGGGGCCATGTCAGGCTCTGCCCAGGGGGCTCTTGGCTCCTGAACTGAGCTTCCTCTGCCCCTGGGGGGCCGGGCAGGGATGCTACCCTTGGGGGATACCAACCACTCCGCCTCTGCCCTGTGTGCATCCTGGGCCTGTCATGTTAGGGTTGCCCCTCTGGGTGCTGGCTGGGGGACGGTGGGGAGCAGCCCCCACCACCCGTGCTCTGTCTGGTTTGTCTTTTTTACTTTAGGCCCCTGCCTGTCTGCCCCTCCCCCACCCGAGGCTCTGCTTCCTGCCTGGAACCACCCACCCTTGAAGGACTGGCCCCTGGCTCACCTGGTCTTGACATGGTGTATGGATCTTTGGTCACTGTCCCTTTGCAGAATAAAGATTGCTCAGGCCTGTCTGGCCCTTTGCCTCCAGCTGCTTGGGGAGTGGGGAGGGCTGCTAGTGGCCTGTCGCCCGCCATTCTGGGCTCACCAGTGCACAACTTGTTGTGTGGACTTACGGTTCATTCTGGAAACCCACACCCTTGTGTAGTATACCATGGTAGTATTAGGGGCCCACGGTAGACTTCATACCAAAAAAAATTTATTAAGTCAACAACCTAACAAACCCTGCTCACCTGCTTCCTCCCCTGTCCTGTCTGGGAGGGGGCTCCTTTGTGTGCAGAGCCAAAAACTGTGGGTCCAAGTGGAGGTGCGCCTGGCAAAGCCCCACAGGCCTTGCTGCCAGCCTTGGCTCTCTGGTGCCAAGATCGTGACCCTGGACTTGAACCTCATCTGCCTGAGGACTTGCCTCCTGGCAATTCTGGCTAGAGGGCTTGGCCCAGCTTTTGGCCTGTCCACCCCCTGAGTCCGTGCAGCCCTGTGCCCAGCCAGGCCTACTTGAGCACAAGCATGGCCTCTGTGCCGTCCTTGGCCGTCAAGTAGAGACCATGAGTGAGGTAGTACTCTCGCCGCAGGAAAGCATAGAAGTAATCAGAAATCAGCAGGATCTGTGGGGGGAGAGGAGAGAGTGTGAGAAGCTTCGAGGTACCTCCCCCTAAACCTTGGGCCCCTGAGGAGCTAGGCAGGTGTTGGGGAGACCCTACCACCTCAGGATCTACACTTGACCCTGCAAGGTCTCACTGACACCTTAGAAGTGCCTGTATGGCCCTCCCTCCCTCCACCATTGTCTACACCTCCTTCTCAAGCCCTGGCCTGAACTCCAGACTGGTACTTCTGCAGCCAGACCTCACCTCGTGGGTACCCACAGGCCTCTAGGATGCACCCTAGCCAGGCTCCCTGTCAAACCGGCTTCTCCCACTGGGAACACAGGCCCCACATCTTCCAGGTCCTCCAGCCACAGGATCACCTGATACTTCTCCCATATACACAGCCAACTAAGTACTGTCAGTTCTACCTCCTAAGCCAGTGGTCAGCAAACTCATTAGTCAACAGAGCCAAATATCAACAGTACAACGATTGAAATTTCTTTTGAGAGCCAAATTTTTTAAACTTAAACTATATAGGTAGGTACATTGTTATTAACTTAATTAGGGTACTCCTAAGCTGGCCTTTGCTAAAAACGTCCTCAGTCTGAGGGGGTCGACCTCAGCGAACATACCACCACTTCTTCTAATGCCACTTCTTCAAAATAGACTCGCCCAGGCCGAAAACCGACTTCTGCGCATGGACCACGAAGTTTCAATCGCTTTGTCCGGGCGCACCCACACGTGGTATTTTGTGGAAGAGCCACACTCAAGGGGCCAAAGAGCCGCACGTGGCTCGCAAGCTGCACTTTGCCGACCACTGTCCTAAGCTCTCAAATCCACCCATTTCTACCCATCTTAACAGTTACCACCCTGGACAAAGCCACTGTCATCAATAGCAGTCTCCTCTCTGGGCTCCCTAATCTCAAACCTCCCCTTCCCTCAGTCCATTTTCCCTAGCAGCCAGAGGTTGCTTTTCAAAACAAATCTGGTCATGTTAAAACCCTCGAAAGCAGTGGTTCTCAACCTTCCTAATGCTGTGACCCTTTAATACAGTTCCTCATGTTGTGGTGACCCCCAATTTCATTGTTACAAATTGAACATAATTAAAGCATAGTGATTAATCACAAAACAATATGTAATTATATATGTGTTTCCGATGGTCTTAGGCGACCCCTGTGAAAGGGTCGTTCGACCCCCCAAGGGGTTGCGACCCACAGGTTGAGAACCGCTGCTCTAAAGGCTTCCTATGGCTAACTAGTAGGGTGAAGATAAGCTCCCTGGGGCTCTGAGGCCTTGCACCAGGTCCCTGCCGTGTACATGCCTCACGCTCCCCTGTGTTCCACCTCACTCTGCTCCAGCCACACTGGCCTCTTCCCTCCCACTGCAGGATCTTGGCTGTTTCCTCTGCCTGGAATGCTCTCTCCACTTTCATCTAGTCAACACCTGCTTGCCCCCCTTCAGACTTCAGGAAGATCTTCCTCAGAAAAGCCCACCCATATGCCCCAGACTGAGTCTTGGCCCCATTAACCTCTATTTGGCAGCACAAACTCATCCAAATTGCCGTTTTACATTCGTTTCTGTGATGTCTGACGAGTGCTCCTCCCTCCCTGCACTGGGCACAATGGTATGTGCACCCAGCTCTCCGTCTTTCCTGTACGAACCACAGAATCGAAAGAGCCCTAGACGTGCAGCCCACCATCCCTCTGAGAGGCCCAGAGCAGAATTGGGATTTGCTGCACCTACAGTCTTACGATCCACTTGGCCCAAGCTCCCAAGACCTCCAGTGCCTGGAGCAGGAGGAGCAGGGCCAGCCCCATGGAAGGATGAGGGGAGGGGCTCACCAGTGCAGACACCACCAGCTCTCAGGCACTCAGAGGCCTCTCAGACTATCAGCACCAACCACCTCTTGGCACAGATGGGGAGACAAGCCCAGAGCAGGGGGACCACCTGGCTAGGGTCTTGGAGCAGATCAGAGGTTGAGCTGAGCCTGGGATCTCGGCCCCTGACCCTGAGAACCCCAATCCTGGGCAGCCTCTCACACTGTGGACAGGAAGGAGAGCACAGAGTGGTCTGGAGAAGGAGGTCAGGGCCAACACCAGCGATGGCTTTAGGATAAGGACACGACTGGAGCCTGTCTGGAAGGATGATGAAAATTAAGGCACAAAGGGTTCAATAGTTGGTCTAAAACTATACAGGGAGAGCTGGACTCGTGGCCATGATCCTGCAGGGCCATGCACCAGTGCGCCAGAGGGCACAGAACTCGGGCACTGTGGGTATCAGTAGAGCAGACAAAGTCCAGGAAGCCCTCAAGGTCTTGCACCACAGCTGCCCTATGGGGGCAGGGATCACAGCAAACACTGACCTCACATCCTACAGCCCCTTTCTTACACAGGCACAAGGTTCCTGGTCTGGAGAAGCCTGTAGCTGTGGTTGAGCTGGTGGGGTCTTAGCTGCTCAGCTGACTGACCTGTCCTGGCGGCCCACCAGCCCAGTGGCAGCCACTCCCTCCCTCAGTAGTCCTGCAGGTCCAATCTTGGGAGAACAAGCCAGGCACCAACGGACTGGTGCTGCTGGCACAATTGATCATGACAGTGCTGCCAGCCTCCTGGAAACCGGCCTCAGGCACGGTGGCCACTTCCCCTCCCTAGATGCTTGGCAAGGAAGAAAGGATATAAAAGCGGCTGTCAGATGGACCCGACAACCGACGTGAAGGTCAGTGGGACAGATTCAGATGCTGGGCCAGCAAGGGCATCCCACCGCATTGCATCCCGGCAATCCCCACTTGGGATGGGCACCAGATGTAGGGCTCAGGGCTGGCAAGCGCCGCTGCAGCAGCGTGAGCCTCTCCCGATCGGGACTGACTGGGTGCGAGCCCAAGGCAGGCGCAGTGGGGCCGGGATGAGTGGGAGTGGCGGGCAGGAGCGGTAGGTGCAGTTGGACTGTGGGTTTTGGCCCGATCCCCGCAGGCCAACCCCAAGGGACCCCACCTGTGCACAAATTCATGCACCGGGCCTCTAGTAGTAGTAGTAGTAATAATAATAATAATAATAATATATGAGCTCTCTCCTCTCGCCACTCAAGATGCCTAAGGGGAAGAAGGCTAAGAGGAAGAAGGTGGCTCCGGCCCCTGCTGTCATGAAGAAGCAGGAGGCCAAGAAGGTGGTAAATCCCCTGTTTGAGAAAAGGCCCAAGAATTCTGGCATTGGACAGGACATCAAACCCAAAAGGGATCTCACCTGCTTTGTCAAATGGCCCTACTACCTACATTCGGCTACAGCAGCAAAGGGCTATTCTCTATGAGCATCTGAAAGTGCCTCCTGCCATTAACCAGCTCACCCAGGCCCTGGACCGCCAAATGGCTACTCAACTGCCGAAGCTGGCCCACAAGTACAAGACCAGAGACAAAGCAAGAGAAGAACAGAGGTTGTTGGCTCAGGCTGAGAAAAAAGCCGCCGGCAAAAAGGGGATGTCCCCACCAAGAGGCCACCTGTCCTTTGAGCAGGGGTTAACACCGTCACCACCCTGCAGTGAGAGAACAAGAAGACTCGGCTGGTAGTGACTACACACAATGTGGATCCCATCCGGCTGGTGGTCTTCCTGCCCTGCCTGTGCTGGCAGATGGGGGTTCCCTACTGCATGAGCAAGGGGAAGGCCAGGCTGGGTGTCTCGTCCACAGGAAGACCTGCACCACTGTTGCCTTCATGCAGGTAAACTCGGAAGACAAGGCAGCTCTGGCTAAGATGGTGGGGGCTATCCAGACCAATTACAAGGACAGATATGATGAGATCCGCTGCCACTGGGGAGGCAATGTCCTGGGTCCAAAGTCGGTGGCTCCCATTGCCAAGCTGGAAAAGGCCAAGGCCAAGGAACCGGCCACTAAGCTGAGCTAAGTGTGCACTGTGGAGTTTTTTGTACATAAAATAAAAATTCTTCTCCAGCCTAAATAAATAAACTATGAAGATAACCCCCCTTCCAGAAAGTAGAGCTTAATTCTTGCCCACTATCACCCCTGGCCCTGGGGTGGGCTAGGCTTGGTCACTCGCTCCCAAAGAACAGAGCAGGGGCAGGGAAAACGGCAACTTCCCCCTAGAGGAGCCTGGAAACAGTGGAACCAGACGATGAAGGGCAGCAGCATGGAATCAGGTGCCGGCAGGCACTACTGCCCAAGTGTTCCAGAACCCACACCTGGTCTCATGATGACAAAGCATCAGCCACACTGGAAGTGGGGGCGCCCAACAGGCTCCCTGGCCAATGCTCCTCAAGACAGTCCAGGTCATGAGAAATGAGGAAAGCGAGCAGAGGACACAGGGAGACTTGACAACTAAATGTAATGTGGTGCCTCTGACTGGGTCCTAGGAGGCCATGACAGGGAAAACTGGGAAATCCACATCAAGTCTGGAGTTTACTTAGTAATAATTGACCAGGGTCAGTTTC